CTTGAGCTTAAAAGCGTCCATATAATGCGGAGATCTCGCAGTCTTAGAATGAAAAAGGGTGAGACCACACAACACCATCTCACAATAAATCACAATCCCAGATTCGACAAAACATGAATACCTTTGGAGAGAAGCCTACGAGTTGAAATGGTCGCTTTTAAGGACAAGCGGGCGTACCCAGATTTCGGGGGGTTTCCAGAAATCTTGATCTACACCAAAAGTGGGCATTGCCCTGCTGATATGAGAAGTTTGGTTTCATTGGTGTGTATATTCGTTTGGTTATAGATAAAACCCTCCTTGTCTTTTAAAGAAACTGAACAAGGGGAAACTTTCCTTGTCTTTTAAAGAAACTGAACAAGGGGCAAAAACTTTACCTTCGATTTTCTCAAAACAGCATTTTTCGGGATAGCCTCCCTGTGCTTAAAAGCGACCAAATTATACTTTTAAACGCTCAAAACGCTTCAAACTCTCTTTGGCATTATCGGCCATAGCAGAAGCGACAAGTCATCGTAATCCTTGATTCTTCTGTTTCGAGGATATTCTCTTCTGTTGAAGCACTGGTCTTAGAGCTTGGCGAGGAATCGAGTCCAGAAACGATTCCCACGAATAATGCTACGGAAGAAAAGTTTCGATTCCTTTTTACGTAAAACAACGGTTACCAGTTACTTAAATTATTAAAATGTCCTTTTTACAGTATATTAAAAAAAAAATAGAACTTGATGCTTCGTAGTGATCCGAAATCAAGGTTATCCTAAACCCTGAAGATGTTCGGAGCCAACCAGGTAACCGCTGGAAGAAGTCACATTATTAGAGAGTAAGTAATTGGGTTCGGAGTCGATTCCTACGATTCCTAGCTTTCAATAATCGGGAACCTAGCTGCCCAGCACTGCTGGTCATAGACAAACATTGACACCACAACAGCAACAGCAACAGCAGTAGCAGAAGTGGTAATAGTAGTAGTGGTGGTATAGGCTTGGCCTTCACATGAAGAAGACTAGAGTTCTAATCCCGAGTCCCGAATAAGGAGAATCTATTTTTCGATTCTCACGGCCTTTCTCAGAAGGGACGCTGTATCGCTCTCAAACTTCCTCTTAAATCATACAATGAGTGTCATTTTAGGGAGTATGTAAAGAAAGACCTTACTTTTACAATAAAACAAAACAAAACAAAATAACAAGACCTCGAAAAACACGGTATATCGGGAAACAAAATACAATTGTTTATTATGGTGAAAAAGTGAGAGAATGACAAAGATGCAATGAATAGACAACATCAGATTATTATATATATATATACACATGATATTGCAGTCACTTTCTAATAAACGGATAAAGCATTTTGATAACATTAACTCAACCAGTCAGCAGCAATAAGCGAAACTACATTCCATGCCAAAGCAAATTTTATGGGACCTCTCTGCGTTTTATAAGACAATCTAATGGAACGGGTATAGATGTGCACATGATAACATGAGCGATTGTAAAGACAAGCACAAAATTCTCTCACCACCAATGCCAGTTTGTTGGGCTAACCATTAGCGTCTATGGTATCATCTTTTACATCGATGAAACTTAAAACAATGGGTGAAAGGGCATTAGAATATCACGGCCCCAAGTTCTGGAATGCTTTGTCTAGTAGTTTAAGAGAGATCAAATCTTTAATTCATTCAAAAGTCAGCTCAAGTCATTTCTGTCTTTAAATTAATGAGATAAATATTTACAGAGAGATTTTCTTTTGGTCAGAGTACAATGCACTGTTTGTGTGCTACTGATGTATTGTAAAGTGCTCAGAGCCTGTCTACTTTCATTGGAGTTCAGGGCTATATGGTCGCTTTTAAGCACAAGGCAAGGGGGCTATCAAGAAAAATGCTGTTTTGAGAAAATCGAAGGTAAGGTTTTTACCCCTTGTTCAGGTTCTCTAAAAGACAAGGGGACTTTTCTTTATAAGCAAACAAAATACACACTGATGAGACCAAACTTCTCCTATAGGTAGGGCAATGCCCACTTTTGCTGTAGGTCAAAACTTTCTGGAAACCCCCGAAATCTGGGTTAGCCCACTTGTCCTTAATTAAAAGTGACCATATAAATACAATAATATATGATTATTTGCATCATCATGCCGGGCCACGACGTTTGCGGGGTGGCCATATTGGCAGAAGATATTCGAAGACGTCTCCGGCGAGCACCCAGGAACTATTCGGATGATAGATGTTTGACAGGATAGAAGGAGCAAAACACACCAGAGCACCCATCATGGCCATCAACCACCCACACCAAGGATTCGAACTTTGTACCAGGGTCATCCGCTTCGCAGTCCTGCATTCTACTAATTGAGCCAATAGAGCCTCCCTTTCTTGTGTGAGTTTAAAAGATAAACACATCGATGTATTAACTGCCGTTATTATATCGTGTTAGGGAAAAGCAAGACATACCTTTTCCCGTGGTTTAATGCACCCCGCATAATTTAGCAAATTTTGATCATTCTTTGCATAATTTCTGATTAATTTCCTTTATCATTCCTTGTTAAAATTAACAGAATCGCCTAATTTCATATTTTTGGGCTCAGTTTGCATAATTTCAATTTTTTTTTTCATAAAACCGTGGAGACAGACAAACACAGAGCACTAAATAGGGAAACCAAAAAAGGAGGACGTCGTGCCAGTGTGATCCTCAGACTACTGATCCAAGCATTGTCTACTGAAAAAATATTTAATAGATTGACGTAATGATCTAATTTACACCCCCCAAAAAATAATAGTGATAAATTCAAACCCTCCAAACCCTCACAACCACAATTTATCTCATCTGTGAAATCATAATATTATTCTACAAATAGATTGCATTTATATAGCGCTCTATCCCACACCAGTATAAGCTTCGAGTGCCTAAATTCTATAACAACATAGCGGCCAAAAACCCACCTACGAAGTCTGAATTCATTTTATTAATGGCACAGCTCACAAATTAATAGTTAACGTTTGCAGTAAGTACATGCGTGTATATATTATATGTATGTAAACGCACATAGTGGTCAAACCTCAAAGAAAGGCTTAACCCTATCCGTACACTCTGGGGTCATTTTGCACCCCCTGGGTTGCATTCTTCACATTTTACAATACTTCTAGTACACTATTTGAAACGTTCAGTATTTCTCAAAAAATCATTTTGACAGACTGCTATGCAAAGCGTACGGATCGGATCAACGAGTAAATTTTCTCTTCGGAAAGTTGTAGCATAGAGTTTCTGACGTCGTGTGGATACGATAGTAAAACACGACGTACGGATAGGGGGGTTAAGAGACATTCTGATCACGGTCACGTCAGAGCCTCCTGACATAGTGGTCGGTCAAATTCCTACATTATAAGCAGGGTACATTTCCCAAAGATATTTCTACAAAATCTAACTCTAAAATCAACACCACCCTTCCCCATTCATAAATTGTGCAAGCCTATTTTTGTACATGTACTGCATTTCTTTCAGGGTGCGGTGGTGGAGCGGTTAGTGCGTTCGTCTCCGAAGCGGAAAATCCAGGTTCGAGCTCGGTTCACTGACGGATTTTTTTCGCCCCTTCCTACCCATCCAGCAGTAATGGGTACCTGACTTCGAGTTGGGGAAGTAAAGATGGCGTGGGAAGGAACTGGCCACCCTACCACAATATGCCGAAGGCTCAGGAAGTTATCTCACTAACAAGGCAATCCCCAATGTCCTTATCGGATAAGGGAACAACTTTACTTTTGTACTGCAAACCCTGACATCACGTCGTCTGTTACTTTTCCAGCTCTGTAGTAGTAGTAGACAGTGAATGGCTAAACCACAGAAACGGCAGGCTGCTACATCACAACAAAGAATTTAGAATAACCACACAAAAATATCACATTGCAAAACAAAAGCAACATTTGTAACAGAATAAACCACAAAGTGCTGCAGTCATGTCTCATTTTCAAGGCTACCTGAAGGGTCTATTTCGGTAGTCTTGCAAGGCACGAAGTGTAAGGCCGGTTTGGTTCATTTTAACGAGGGCCGTGGTTCTTGTCTTTGGTTTGATCGATTCGGTTATCCAGTCTCAGAGGTTCGGTTATCCAGCCTCAGGGGTTCGGTTATCCAGTCTTGAGGCAGTTTTCTGTTTTACCTATAAGTTTGTGTGTTGTATAGGGTTTTACGGCGCTCGCAACTGCATAAGGTCATATGAGCGCGCGAAACACAAGTTGTTAACTTTCGCGAAAGTTCACTGCACGATCGGTTAACTATTAAACTTTTAAAATGCTAAAACATTAAAATTCGGTGTAAATATATTTTCAATTTAAGTTTGCCCAACACCTTCAGTATATGTATCATGTAGGCCTACTATTCAAAGCATCACATTTCATTGATCTAAAGCTCATTTGTACAATTACAAAATGAAATAGGATAACGACAGACTATCTACTTCAACACACCTCTTTCACACGCACTCGCGCATAAATATTATACAGGCTAGGAACAACAGCAAACACATTTGGCGTTTTCATGTCCTTAAAGACATGCCATTGGAAAAACTTAAATACAATTCTCAAATTGATGGAAGAAGTAGTCTTTTCTTTAACGCTGTTTTCACCGATGAACGAAAAGAAGGATTATACACTCACAACTACCTTAATGTACATACACGAATACACACACAAACATACACACACACATATAAACACACACAAATTATACTCATACGCAGTAAACACTGGCTTTTTTTTTCTCTTCTTTCTTTTTTTTTCTATGTGTATTTGTATCTGTATCTCTCTCTCTATCTATCTATCTATCTATCTATTTATCTATCTATCTATCTATGTATCTATCTATCTGTCTATCTATCTATCTACCTATCTATCTACCTATCTATCTCTCTCTCCCTCTCTCTATCTCTCTATCTACATGTATCTATCTATCTCTCTCTATCTCTCTAATTCTCTCTTTCTCTCTCTCTCTCTCTCTCTCTCTCTCTCTCTCTCTCTCTCTCTCTCTCACACACACACACACACACACACACACACACACACACACACACACACACACAAACACACACACACAAACAAACCAACAAATCCTCAAATCTCCGTCTCCTGATCCTCCACCACCTCATAGTCCAAGATGTGAGAGAACAGAGACTGATCCTTCGTCTCGCCCTGAAAACGAGCGATGACCTTGGCGGTACCGGACACTGACCCCGTGTGCACCTGACCCTCCCAGGCACAGCCCACCTTACGGCGCAGGTGATGCCACACCTCCTCGATGACCACGAACACCTCCAGGGCCTGTGGAACGTCCATTCGGAACATGACGTGCTTGTCCGTGTTCAGATCCCCGCTCAGAGGCTCGTGGAGGGAGCAGCGGTGCCACTTTTGGTAGGTCTTGGGGAACTTGGCGACTGTCGGACTCGGTTCCTGGCAGATCACCAGGTAGCGGAAAGCGCAGTCCAGAGATTTGGAATCTCCGGTGAGATCGGCGGCGAAGAGTGAGAAGAGGAAGAACCCTTCACGCGGGCAGCGGATTAAGTAGTTGGCGCCTTTATCGTTTCGGGAGCGGAGAAACACGTAGCGGTCTATGTCCATGATGGCTCCGTCGCTGACGTCAAAGTACTGGAACGTGTGGGTCAGTCGGATGTCGCGGCTCAGCCGGAAGTTGATCTCGATGTAGTCGTTGTTGCAGACGACCAGAGGATCCACGTGACTGTCCGCCGTGATGCCCAGTGTCTCCATCACGGGGGTTGGCCCGAAAAACGGAACAGGAGGGTAAGGAGGGGATGGTGCGCCCGTCAAGTTTTTGCAGTGGACGAGGAAGGAACAAGCGCTCTCTAAGCACTCCGACCTCCAGTAGTCGCCCGTGTAGATGGAGAAATAATAAAAGCCTGTCGCTGGAAGCGCTATAGTGAAGATGGCTTCGTTGTTCACGAATCGGAGAAGAGTTCTTCCTTCGATCTGCCTCGGCTCACTCGGGAGGCGATTGACTGGCTCCAACATCGAACCAAACCCGAGGATTTTCGGCGTGAGGAGGCGAACCTCAACCATCCCTGTCTGGGTGGTCAGGGTAGCGCCGTAGTTGGAGTAAAACCTCAGGCCGTAGTTGAAGAACGGGGACTTGACCACTGGGAGGTTGAGGAATTCCGAAAAGGGGAGGGGGATCTCCAGGAGCTGCCACTTGGGCTCGTCAGGGTAGTGTTGGTAGATGTGGTCCTCGGGGTCAGTGAGGAAGTAGAACTCGTCGTACCTAGGAGGGAGAACCAAAATATGTGAGGTGTGCTGACAAAATGAGTTACTTCTCGGATTTTCGCAATCACAAACATTTCTGTTTCTATTGAAGATAGCAAGGTATTCTTTTTCATCTAAAAAAAAAGACAAACGAGCAAGCTTTAAGATCAAACCCTTTTCCTTCATCAGTCCTCCTTTCTACACGCTGCATTCACTCAAAAACAGACTCAGCCCTTTCCGACACACACACACACACACACACACACACACACACACACACACACACACACATGTTACACACTCACATCCTACTCACCATTCCCCTCCCATCCACCTCCCCCTCCATTTGTGCACACAATCGACTCCCCACTTCCCTCCCCGCCTCCCGCCCCTACCTTTTTCCCTTTTCTAAATATGTGAGGCAGCGTGGTGGAATCAGGCGCTCGTCAGTTTTGGGGCATGTAGAGTGTTATTCACTTGTCTTTATTTGGATGAACAAAATATCCATTTATCTTGAATACAAGTCGAGATATTTGAGAAAGAAAGAGGTGGGGGGTCACCTGTTTTCAGAGGTAAAATTAGTGAGAAAATGGCCGCCAAAGATAAGTAATTTCCTTAGCTTAAGAGTCCGTGGTAACTGAAAATTACAATTTTTGAGCCTTTAATCAAAGTTTTTCAGAAAAATCCACACACAAATGAGTTCTTTAATGGGCATGAAAGGTGTTGAGCCGAAAAACAAAAACTTGATAAAAATTCACAAACCTGCAGAAAATACAAGTTTCTTCGCTTTGATTATTTTGAGGAGAGCCTGATTCAACCACGCTGCCTTACATATGTACCTACCCATAAAAATCTACAAACAAACAACAAGATGCACAATCGAACAACAAGATACACAAACAAACAACACTTGCACCAAGACAAAACAAACAACAGGATAAAAGCATACAAACAATCCACAGACAAGAAATGCAAATACACAAAATAATAAACAAATAGCTTTTTATTTTTAGTAGAGGTTTTACGGCACTCGCAACAGCATAAGGTCATATGAGCACAAGAAGATTAGAGGTGTTACAAGAGAGTAACAAAGAGAAGAAGATAACATAAGGACGATAGATGTTTCATAGGAAAGAAGAAGCAAACCACACCAGAGCACCCGCCAACCACCCACAAACAAATAAATAAACAAACAACTTTACAATAAGCAGCAACCAAAACAACAACACATGAATTAACAACAAAACCCCCAGAACAAACAACAACACAACAAACAACGCCAAACAAACCGACAACCACACACACAAACAACCACACACACACAAACAACCACAAATCATGTGTGCCCACTTGTGGTACATCTGCGGCAGGTTGTCCTTGTGACCAGTGACGTGACGAGCGCCCCAGGTACAGTTGACCAATCGCCAGCTGCCGTCAATGTTGACCACTGTCCAGGAGTTCCGGAACGCCTGACCGTCCATCCTCATACCCGGTTTGTAGCCGGCGCCCTTGGAGTAGCCCAGCACTATCTCACAGTGCAGACCCGCGTAGCTGGAATGTCAGTAAAATTAAAAAGTGAGGTGTGCTAGCAAAATAAGCCACTTCTTGGATTTCAGCCTTATGGAAATTGATGCATGAACTTGGTAGGTGAAGTTTGTACAATTTGTGAGCATGGAATAGTAAAAGAGACAATAAACTTTAACAAAATGGCATCAATTGAAAATCTATACATCTGACCCCAGTGTCGATTTTCAGACGATATCTCCATTCCTGGTTCGTGATAAGTAACTCATTGTGTCCGCACATCTCACATTTCAGTACAGAGGAAACATAAGAGGGAAGATGACATCTGAGAATGCGCTACCTCAGAATGAATTACAACGGTCTATCAGACATGTGAGGCGCCGTTTTCAGTTACTCAGACCATAAGATCAGATCAAAAATCAAATATTATTATTATCTACTCTATCAAAATCGAAAGATTATTTTGAGTCGTTATCAAGATATTCAAAGAAATGAATTCGGAAAAAGCGTTACATGATAAGAAATTCGAAATCTTTAACGTCAAATTTGGTCGCTTTGAAGCACAAGGGGGCTGTCCCGAAAAATGCTGTTTTGAGAAAATCGAAGGTAAAGTTCTGTCCCCTTGAGAGTATTCTCTATAACCAAACTAAATATACACACCAATGAAACCAAACTTCTCCTTTAGGTAGGGCAATGTCCACTTTTAGCGCAGGTCAATATTTCTGAAAACCTCTGAAATCTGGGTTAGCCCGTTTGCCCTTAACAGCGACCAATTGCATTCGAAAAAGCTTGACATGATGTGACACTCAGAATCTTTAACATCAAATTTCTCAAACATAGGTACTGAGCGGACCAGTAGAACTTTGTATTTTTTTATAGTAGAGGGTTTTACCGCGCTCGCAACTGCATAAGGTCCTATGAGCGCCAAGGGGTGGGTGTCAACAGAGAATTCTTTACAGGAAATCAGACTTAGACTGCTCACCTCTCTAGCTTCAACAGTACAAGGTCTGCTTCGACTATCAAGGCGCCCCGGAAATAGCAGGTCACAAGAGAGTGACAAACATACAAAAGAAGTAGAGAAAAATGACAATAGTAGGGATCAGGAAAGAAAAAGCAGCTGTTCCCTGTTGTAGATCAGGCACAGTTATGAGCGTGACATGAGTCAGCCCATTTACAATCCTACTGTGCTTGAGCGAGAAATGCCCCCCCCCCCCCTTTTTGGGAATGGCCTAAAGACACTACAGTCAGTGGCATCGCCCGGGGGGGGGGGGGGTATGATAGAACTTTGTAATTCTAGGGCAGGGATCATTTACAGCCATGGAGGAGCTGTAGGACACACTGAGGAAAGCAGAGAGCCGAGAAGAGTAGAGGAGATTTAATCATTGTCATTTGATTTAATAGCGAGATTATCTTTATTGAACGCATGTTTTGAGAACTTTTAGTACAAAAAAGTGTTCACTACTATAAAATTAATTTCTTGTAACAAATTTTGTTGTCATCTGTCGGAGGCGAGCCAAAGGATGACAAATCAACGGGACCAGAGAGAAAGAGAAAAACGATAGTATTGATATTATGGTGGGTATTTTAGTGCAGGGGGTGGGGGAAGGCATGGTGGTGATGATGATGATGATGATGATGATGATGATGATGATGATGATGATGATGATGATGATGATGATGATGATGATGATGAAGATGATGATGATGATTGCAATGCCGACAATGACGGGGATGACCATAACGAAGATCACTGACACAACACTAACTAACGTAACTAATCTTGGCCCGCTAGAATAGGCTAACACTAACAAGGTCACATTAGCAGAGACTGTGCCCACCATTTCGGAACTTTACGGTGACATTAAAGATGGTTCCATTAGAGTACAGGATAGCGGGTGCTGACAACCCTCGTGACTCATCAGAGTAGAGGAAGATAGCACTAACGTAACAATATATTTTTGTTTAACTTAAGCATGTCTTCTTCATAATTATACATAAACACCATCCCACATCATCACTTATCACCACCACAACCATCATTTCTAAAATTATCATTATTGCTTTCTGATCCTTCACAAACATCTATAATTATCTTGAACATCTATATGTAACAGTTATATTTTATAACAGTTATGTGCGTGTACGTCAGACATTATTGGGCATTATCATACGCACATTTTTCTACTACTAATCAGATGGCGCCAACATCATAGAAATGGGCCGGGAAAAAACGTAACTAACCACATACTCATGTGGCGTGCACGTGTGTCGTCACTAGAGCTGTACCCCGGTAGCAAATCTGAACGTGCTCGCAAGCTCCTAAAGTGCGGTCAAAAATTCGTTGTGCAACTTATCCTCAAATATCTTTATAACGGGTGAATCATTGTCACACATACTTTGGACACAGTTTGTCTCAAGTTGTCTTAACTTAATCATAATATTTTTCTACAACAATTGAGGCTACATTAAAAATCTTTTCTTCATAAATTTATATAAAATACAAGAAACCTCCTTCACGCGGAAAATAAAATTATTCTCAGCACTTCCAGTTCCTCAAACACAATTTGTATACGCATATGGGTTACTTCAGAGCTCACCAAGGACACTCTTTGGAGGAAAAACTGGTTACACGAAATTCATTTTATAGTGAACACTCTTTTGCACTAAAAGTTCTCAAAGCATGCGTTCAATAAAGATAATCTCGCGATTAGAAAAACATGACGGATTTGCTTTTAAAAGCGATATCGTCCCAGCTGTAAACCTTTTAAAATCAGTAGAAACCACCCACTAGGATTTTTTATGAGTATTTATTAAGGAATTTTCTAAAATAGAGCTAACAGGTCTTTACAAAAATATTGATCTGTTAAAGACTAATTGATACAAGTCATTGTGCAAAAGCTGGAGAGTTTATGTTCGATAGTTGAGGAGATGTTTGACAATAAGTCGCGCAACGAATTTTTTACCTGACTATAGTCAAAGAGTCTACATAACAAGAGGGGCCACTTCTCTCTTTGAGCTAATTAAAAAAGTGTCCTCAAAATTCGGTGGCGCCCTCTTCGCAAAAGCGCACCTTTTACGAACAGAGTTATCCTACTTGAGTTTAAAAAATCAAAGTGAAACTAGCAAGTTTTTGAATGAATTTCGGAAGAACGCTTTTTTAAAATGGTTACGCTGACAAAAAACCTCTTCCGGAGGAAAGGGTGATTGTTTTCTTCGTTTAATTTGACTTTAGAATGAAAGGCGAGAGGTCATTAAAATTTATAAAAACCTAAAACTCCGCACTGAACGAACCCGAACTGCTGATGAACAGCAGTCGATCTGCGCACGCAAGAAGGTGCTATTCCTATTCTTCTTCTGGGAAAACGAAAGAGAGCTTCAAAACAGACTGCAGCGCCATCTGAAGCAAAGAGCGAACTTTCTGCGGACACCTTTTTGGCTGAGTGGCCCATCTTGTTATTTACTATCTTTGCTATAGTTCAAGCCACAAACCTCAAATCACTAGGGTCTAATCATCAAATCAAATCACCAGCATGATTGGTTAAGTCTAGCCTAAGCTTCCAAGTCCACACCAACTAGCAATCCGCGAAGCCACTAGTGTCAGACGCCATCATCCTCCCCAGTCCCTGCTTGCAATCCGCGAAGCCACTTACGTCAGAAAGAGAGAGAGAGAGAGAGAGAGAGAGAGAGAGAGAGAGAGAGAGAGAGAGAGAGAGAGAGAGAGAGAGAGAGAGGGGGGGGGGGGAGTGAGTGAGTGTGAGAGAGAGAGATAGAGAGAGAGTGAGTGAGTGAGAGAGTGAGTGAGTGAGTGAGTGAGTGAGTGAGTGAGTGAGTGAGTGAGTGAGTGAGTGAGAGAGAGAGAGAGAGAGAGAGAGAGAGAGAGAGAGAGAGAGAGAGAGAGAGAGAGAGAGAGACCCCGCTCTATAGAGTTATCTCTTTTTTAAACCTATAGTGTACATTAATGCCCCGCTCTCAGTATCACTGCGCAGCTTGTCACCTACCTGCACAACTTCTTGTACAGCTGATGGTAGGTCTCCTTCCCACTCTTGACGCCCTTCAGCAGACGGTCCATGGCATGAGGCCTCACTATCTCATTCACCGTGTGCTTATTGATGTCCTTGGCGATGACCCAACGGAACAGGATCCTGAATACCACACGTAGAAGTAGAGTAGAGTAAGCAGGAATAATAAAAATAATAACAATAGATAGCATTTGTATAGCGCAAATCCCCGCTCAACAGCAAGTTCTATACGCTTCACAATCTATACTATACTATCCCAGCAGACCTGAGAGCATTCTGAAACAGCCACAACTTCCTGGGAAGCATACAGTGCAAGCAGCCATTAATAGGCGCTAAAACACTAACATACTGACAAGATCTTTCACTGTCTATGGCCGGGTACCCATTCTCAACTGGGTGAAGTTAGGAAAATTCGTGTAAAGTGCCTTTCCCAAGGACACAACGTCGGGCCCGCGGCTCGAACCCCCGAACACACAACCTCAAGATTACGCGTCCGGTAGCCTAACCGCTACTAAACACTACTCCTGGTACTAAGCCCCTACAACTGACACCCACCTAGCCTTTTCCAGCTCCGTCTTGCAGTTCCTGGTGAGGTCCCGCACGAGGTGAGTAAACATGTCGTAGTCTTTGTTGGCAAACTGAGGAAAACACAACGACAAAAGTCATAAGACCTTTCTCGGAAAAAGTCAGGCCACATGTTCTTAGAACTCTTTAAGCTATATCTCCGGCCTGGAGGTCCAGTGCCTCAAAGACGCCACTACCACCACCACCACCACCACCACCACCACAACCACAACCACAACCACTACGACTACCACAACCACTAGCACAATAAACAGCCTATATACATCACAAACGAACCACACATCAAACAAAACACGCCGACCTTCATCTATGGCCCCGAGGTCCAGCACCTCAAAGACAGCCACAACCACAACCACTACCACTACCACAACCAATACGACTACGACAGCTACTAACACAATATACAGCTTAAACAATCACAAACAAATGACACATCAAACAGACAAATTATGACTACAACAACCACTAGCACAATAAACAGCTTATACACATCACAAACAAACAAACTACACATCAGACAGACATGGTGATCGCAACCACCACCACTACAACCACCACCACAACCACAACCACAACCACAACTACGACGACTATTATCATAAATAAAAATCTAGCTTACATACATCACAAACAAATGACACTTCAAACAGACACGGCTACCTTACATTTATGGCTCGGAGGTCCAGCGACTCAAAGAAAGCCACTACCATCACCCCAAGCACCACCAAAACCACAATCACAACAAACAGCTTATACACATCACAAACACCACTAAAACCACAACCACTACCACAAAAAACAGCTTATACACATCATAAATAAACCACACATAAGACAGACACGCCGGTCTACATCTATGGCCCTGAGGTCCAGCGACTCAAAGACAGCCACTACCATCACATCAACACCACCACAAGCACAACTACCACAACCACTACAACAACAAACATCTTATACACATCACAAACACCACCAAAACCACAACCACTACCACAGCAAAAAGCTTATACACATCACAAACAAACCACACATCAGACAGACACGCCGACCTACATCTATAGCCCGGAGGTCCAGCGACTAAAAGACAGCCACCACCATCACCACCACCACCACCACCACAACAACAAAAAAATCTTATACACATCACAAACAAACCACACATCAGACAGACACGCCGACCTACATCAACACCACCACAAGCACAACTTCCACAACCACTACAACAGCAAAAAGCTTATACACATCACAAACAAACCATACATCAGACAGACACGCCGACCTACATCTATAGCCCGCAGGTCCAGAGGCTCAAAGACCGCCGGAGACTTGTAGAGCACCGTCTTTTTGCCTTCCGGAGGCTCGGCCGGGGGTCTCATGGAGTGGTCAAACAGGCACATCCGGTCGACCTCTCTGTCCTTCTCCCCGATCAGGGTCAGCATCTCGTGGCAATGTCTGGGGGTGGAGTGGGGTGGGGAATGAGGGTGGGATGGATAGAGAGGGGAGAGAGGGGGGTAGAGGGGGGTAGAGGGGGAGGGAGTGGGATAAAGAAAGAGGGGGAG